CACGCTTGAGGTATTCGTCCAATCACAACGCACTGGATAGCTGGTCAATCAGAGCACACCTCGCTTTTCAGACCGATTAGTTTTGTAAAAATCGACGCGTTTCAGAAAGGCGGGGCATAGAGGAGAAACAATAATGTACAGTATGTGGAAAATAATGTTTTTTTAACCTTAAACCGCATAAACACATTTCATTACACCAAATACACAAAATAATGTTCTTTTTAGCAGCATCATATGACCCCTTTAATGAAATTGTACAAGTTCAGTGTCGTTTTATTTTCGGCTAATTATTTTTTCGTGAATTTGAATATGTGCAAAGGATTGTGGGTGATTGAAGGAAGGGAAGGATACACCTCATGATTTAATATGCCACAACCTCACTCAGTTTTCCATTACAATTTTTTCAGTTGCTTTTGCAGGTGAATCTTGAGTTTCACTAATGAAGGGGAATGTAAAGTGAGGGGTACATCACAATAATGTTCAATTGGCAAGCATAAATAGACAGAGCACACCACAATGATACTATTTCCTACAATTTAATAACAAGGAAACAAACAGAAGAAGAGGAGTAAGGATGCATGGTGGAAGGGTAGGGAGGCAATACACTGGAAGAGGTAGAAAAGGCCAAGGATGTAAGCATATTTCCCATGAAATAAGGGCCACTATTGTGGACCATGTTCTCAGTGACCTTATGGCTAAGGCTGGTCATAAGGTATGTCGAATGTTTGGAGACATTTTTTTAAATAATATGTCTACTCAACACAGTTATTACCAAAATGAACACAGAGACCTAAATACTTGGTATACACAATGACGGTAACAATCAGTGGATAGTGTTTGTGTACGAATGAGTAGAAAACGAACTCTAGATGTCACATCAACGGGATCATAGCTTTGATTAAAGAATCCTTGTAAACATAAACAATTCCAAGTAAAATATACTTATAAGTTCAAACTTTAATTTGTACACGATTAAATTGAGTATTAATATATAATTTACTCTCTTTTTTAAATTATTGCCTGAACTAAATTAATGTAGAAATTACATTTGCTTTTCCGTAGTATTTACTTCACCACAAAATCATTTTTTTATCAGTGTACAATACAGATTGTCAAAGCAGCTTTACAGTATTAGTATATATATATTTGCAGATTCATTCCAATAATCAACCCTGGTGGCACCAAATGCCATTCAAAGTCACAGATCGGATGGAATTTTTGAACGAGAATTTACTTAAATTTAACAACACAAACTGATTTTTACGGTTTCATTTTTGTAAGGCCTGTTTTGTTTTTCAGTATGTGTATGTTTTGCCATGCTACAGATACAAAGTTCCCAGGCGATTCATGGACTGTGGTGATGCCCTTTCTTTTCAGCTAGTGCATCCTAGAGGTCATGATTTTAAATTTGTATTCTTTAAAAAGAAAACTAAATAAATAGATAAACTTAATACATTTAACAGTAATTGTTATGAACTGCACAGAGACACGAAGACTGAGGATACAAATGCAGTTTATTGATATCACAACCCAAAGTCACAGTCCATGAAATAAGCAGTAGGTCAGAGCACAGGTAATCAGGCCAAACAAACACACAGATCCAGAGGACAAAACAGGAACAAGAAAACCAGGACACAGGCAGATATCAAAGACCAGGAAAAACAGGACAACAAAGAGACACCCAGTAATGCAGTCAATACTTTGCTAAGTTACAAACAACAGAACTGGTATAAATAGGCAAAAAGATAATGAGGTGATGAGAAACAGCTGCACATGATTACACTGATGACAGGCAAAGAACTATGGGAAACTGAGTCCATGATGGCGGTAGAGCAAGCGGTAAGAGTACCCTCTGCTGGTGTACAAGGGCACTCGCAGCTGGTGTATGTAACAACTAATACTGTAAATGAAAAGACAGAACTATACTGTAAACTACAGTAATAAGACTATAAACATTTTAATTTACTGGCATCCAGCTGCCAGTAAGTTACTGTAAAATTTACAGCAATCGTGTTAAAGTGTAACTAGAAAATTTTCCCCAGCCTCCACTGAAATGTCACTGTGTTGAAAACAGGCCACACTCTTGGTTTCATTATAAACTGACGCAGAAACAAAATGGAAAGGGCAGGTGGGTGTGAAGAACTACAGCATAAACACTGACATGTCATTTCCTTGTTGAACAGAAGGATCGCAATGGATTAATATCCTTATCCCATCACTGTAGAGCAGGGGTGTCAAACTCAATTCCTGGAGGGCCGGAGCCCTGCAGAGCTTAGATTCAACCCTAATTAAACACACCTGATCCAACTAATCAAGTCATTCAAGCTTATTTGAAAACTACATGGTATGTGTGTTGGAGCAGGGTTGGAACAAAACTCTGCAGGACTCTGGCCCTCCAGAAACTGAGTTTGACACCCCTGCTGTAGAGGGAGACTGGGGGCCTAAACATGCTAAAAGTGTGAAAAATAAACTTCAGATTCACTTTCAGAGTAAGTGAGAGTGAGAGTAAGATTAAGTGCTAAACACCAAAACAAGTGTAAGATGTTTACAAAACAAGTATTTTTATTTCCCTTTCGTGGAACTTCGAACTGCGTCCTCTAGGGGTCGCTATGGGGAACGCCTCGTCGTGACCCGTGTCTGAAGCCTACATTGAAAAAACACCAACTTGTTTGGCCGGCGACAGCCATGACGTCACTACCGCCGCGACTAGTACAAAATAGGCGCCGGTAGCGCACATCATTCTCTTCTTCGTCTTCACTGACCGGTCTGTTTGAAGCGTGCATTCCAAAAAGCAAAGTAAGAGCTTTTCTTTCCTACTATGGCGAGCACTAGCGAAGCGTTTAGAAAGTGTGTACATCCATAGCGACCCCTAGAGGACGCAGTGTCTCGTTCCCCTCAGGGAACCATGGTTACACAAGTAACCTGAGACGTTTTATTTTTGCTATCTTGCATGTAATGTAATCAAGCTGTCAAGACACTTAATGCAATTTCAGGTTATATGACGTGGGAAGAATTCATGCAAACTCATAATCACATGATCCGTGATACTCTTGACATAGTTGCTACTCTACTACTTTACTTCTTTGTTTTAAGTGATGTAGTTGAATCTGTTTTCTGTATACGAGACTGCATGCTCTCAAAGGCAGAACACATTATTGCCAGTGACAATCAGCAAGTTAAAAGTGTACAAACAGCGATGTAGAGGAACAAACAAACAACACTGGAAATAGAGTGAGTAGAATTATTACAAAATGCAGAATTAGAACCACAATGCTTTTACAACCAACCCTTGGACCAGTGGATCTATAAATCAACTTATCTATAAATTAATTTATTTGTTTTAATCTATTTAGGGATGCAGTCAGGATTAGAAATGTTTAAAATTAATTAATATTTTTTTTTAGAATGTAATAGAACACTGGAACATATTCCGATTTAGTTGCTAATTTTAATTTCACTGTAAACTTTAATTTCACTGTTTCCAGTGTAAACTCACTATAAAAAATTACACTTACTATTGTCTCAAGACTGTCTTAGCAAAGCAAATGTTTGTTGTTCAGAAAATGCAGCATGTACCAGATTAATGTGTTTCGTGGTTTTGAGGCTATGTGGTATATGTGTTACCTGTCAAAATGTATTTCAAACTTGTTTTTGTAATTTTATCAGATTTTTAAAAATATATAGTTTGTATTGTTGCGAGTTAAAATGTTTTATTATGTCTGGTACGCCACAAGGGTACGAACAATGGTTTATTATAAAAATATGAATTCTGTTACATAGTAGAGATGTAGGTGTATTTTAGAGTTTCTTTAGAAAGAACGTTGTCATTTCTCTATATTGTTCAAAAAAACACTGTGGTAAAAAACAGATAAACTCCACTTATTAAATGTGCTCTTCATTTACATAATTGTAAATTCTTTATTTTTATGTGGTTTCAGACAAAGCAGACGTGTGGATATCAAAAACCACGTAAGTAAATCATCTGGACTTTGGTTTGTGGCAGCTTACTTTTATAGGTTAGATTATCCTATTGTTATTGCTGATGTAACTTATTAACATTTGTTTTCAATGGTAAAGATATTACTTAGTTACAAATTGATACACAATGTTGAATTATTGTGTTGTTTAACTGTAGTTTTATTTAAATAAATAAGAAAAAAACACAAAGTGTTTTTAAAAAATCTACTTCCTTCCACCACGGATTCAAATCTCAAGTTGACAGTTTAACAGCTGAGCCCAAGCCTCTAGTAACGAAGAACTAGTAACGAAGGAAGATTGAATTGCTTCAGTGAAAGCTTATTGTATTACTGTATTAAAAGCTCACTGTATAATGTGGAGTAGAATATTATGAGAGAGAGATGGACTGAGCCAGTGTGATTACCTGCATCTGATGCAGCATTCATTTTTCAGCTGAATCTCATATTCAGAATAAAACATTAGCTTCAATGTCCGCTGAGGAAAGTGATATCTTTGTCGTACTATCCTTTAAAGTGTTAAGGCTGTCATGAGTGCTGAACATCTGTTAATGCCCTGGAGCTTACATCTCTGAAAATGTTAAAGCAAATTTTTAGTAGACATTATCTTTATAAACAAACCACATATTTGATGTCTAAACAACTACATTCTCATCTATAAAAAAAAGAAAAATAAATAAAAATCTTAAAACTACATTATGTGGCACAAAAACATTTATTTATAAAATTATAGTGGATTTGGGCGTCTGCCATGACACTTCGCTGTGAGAAATACTGCAAGTGATACAAACAGTGAAATGGTTCCCGTGGTGATATTGGGTGAATACCTCATGGTTGGAAAGACCTCTCAGCCAATCAGATTTGAGAACCAACCGTAATGAGCATATAACACTTGTAGCCGTTTGATAGTCTTAAAGGGGTCATCGGATGCAAAATTCACTTTACAAGTTGTTTGAACATAAATGTCTGTTGGAAGTGTGTGTACACATCCATCCTATAATGATAAAAATCCACCCAGTGTTTTTTTAAATCCCTATTTTAAAATCCCCTTTCTCAAATCAGGCTGTTCTGAGATTCCTGTCAGAATGACGTAGTTCTGAACAGGCCCCTCCGACGATAGTTGATTGACAAGTCCGTCTTACCTTAAGACCCGCCCTGAGTGAGCTGAGAGCCGTCCGCCATTGTGTCGATTCCGGTGCAGGGGAAGACAAGAACGTCTCCGATTAAGCAACTGAGGTGTTTTGTTGTTGGATGTAATAATGAATATAGCAGTCGTCAGTCCCGACATCTGAGCCGCTGAAGACACAGAGGATTAACGTTACTTTCGTTTTAAAGGGAATGCGCCGATCCCGATCTGCCTAAATGCGTTTAAGTTCGCGCAAATCATTCGTGATCCAGCTTCATCTACAGAAGAAGTGAGTATAAGGGTTTTTTATGAATCTTTGCAAATCGTCTTTCCTAATATGTGCTAGTTATCAAGTTTGCTCGTTGCCCCATGGAAGAGAGGGGCGGGGTCAGCAGAGCTCATTA